TACATTTAATTAAGTCCATTTTAGATTTTAGCGATAATGTATTCGTTTTTCGGTTTGCCATTTTGAAATGTTTGCACTTTCACGGATAAACTCAAACTGCCGTACCTACACAATACTGGTTTATTTGTGTATTTACTGCTTTTGTACCTAAATTTCTGTGATAATGGTTCTAAGTATTGATAATAGTTCGCCCTTATTATGGGGCTTTCCGAAATCATAAACTAATTATGTAAACATCTATAAATTCTTTTATACCTGCAAAGCAATAACATAAGTAGGTTCCGGCTTAACAGATTAGGGAAATTCCGTGTTCGCGTTAGACAGGGTTCCGGCTTATAAGCAATTTTTACATTACAATATGTAGGTAATCGCCAAAATTTCCGTCATACACAGGATTCCGTGTTACACAGGTTCCGGCTTACTCAGGTTTCACTGTATATAAAATATAAGAAAAAGGTGGTCATCCTAAGGACAACTGGATATCTATGCAGAAGCCGTCGTTTATAGAAACTAATTTCTCTACGTCCACCGTAAAGGTAGCGATATCTCTTTTAAATTATATTTGAAGAATATAAAGAAAAAGGAATCACCGTAGCGGTAACGTGGATATTTGCGTTTTTTGTTAACTTGACTCGGTGAAAATGAAAAAGCTAATACCCCCAGCCCACAAAAACCCTGGTATTTATACTTAAATTTCTCATATATGCAAATGTATCGGAAAGAGAACGACTGTGAATTCGGTGCATAAAGACTATAAAGCTCTGTATTAATTCCTGAATATAGCCCTATCGGTTTACATCTGGTCTTTTAGCTAGCGGCCGTTACAGTTTACACGTCGATTTCTTTTCCCAGAAGTAATTAACCGGCGCCTACGAGTCGGGAGAAGCTGGGATGTTGTTTGAATTCGAAATAATAATTTGAATATAATATGTAATATATAAGAATTATTTAAATTAATTATCAACCCCCGGTTGTCGGATTTCACTCATGAATTGGGAAACCGAAAATACGCCAGATAGCTTCATTGGAACTGATATACCGGCCAATTTGGTAATTCGTAATTTCATCATTTTGTTTCAACGGAGGAGAATTTACGTTAGTATTTTCAATTCTAAATACAGCCATATCACTTCCTTTATTCACATACATACTTGCAAATATATTTGATGCTATTCACCGAACTGCATGACTCAACATTAATATGAGCATTGAATGTTTTGCTCAGCAGAGGTGAATATATCAACTATAAAGTTTTTAATTAACAAATAAAAAATGGGGTGAAAATTAAGCGTTGTATGTATTTTTGTATGCTGTATCATAACAAAATAAAAACAAAAAATTTTGTCTAAAAAATAAAAAAAAAATTTAGGGGTGGACCACCTTTAAAATTTAGAGGGTTGAAAATTAAGGGTTGTATGTATTTTTTAATGCCACATAATAAAAAAATCATACATTATTCAGTTTGTTGGAATCGGTTCATTAAGAGGATTTCAAAAATATGCAAATATACAGGGTGTTTCATTAAAAAAAAAACAACACCGACTATGGCATACTTGCGTGAATCACCCTGTACATTTAAATTTATGTTTACATAACGCACAACTCAATTCAAAAGTTGACGTGTCTCGGCATTTTTTACAATTTTCTAAAATAATGACATACAGAATTTTATTCCATAAGTGGTTTCCACACTGTATATATTAGATTTAATCATTTTCACAATTTGTCACACATGTCAAATAAAATAATATATTTTTTTAAATGTTTATTTTATAAGATCAGTTTCATCACATTACATAATATTACACAGATACAAACTAGAATAATGAAATATATTGGCATTCTAAAATATACTCTTTGTAGTTTAACAGACCCCCTTAACCCTCATTTTCAATTGTTTTCACAATCAATAGGCCTCATTTCCTTATAGAGCTTGATTTTTATTAAAAATTTCATGTTGATATCGCTTTTCATTTTTGATTTATTTTTTTAAATTTCAACCCCCTTTAAATCCCCCACTTTTAATTAGATTTTTTCAAAATCAAAGGGCTTCTTCTCCTTTTAGAGCTTGATGTTTGATTTTTCGTTTTTCAATTAGGATATTTTTTTTTTAATATTTTAACCCCCCTTAACTCCCCAATTTATTTAGATTTTTTTTCAGTATCAATAGGCTTTATATTCTCATAGAGCTTCATTTTTACTAAAAATTTCATGTTGATATTACTTTTCGCTTTTAATTTGAGATTTTTTTTTTAATATCAACCTATCTTAACTCCCTATTTTTAAACAGTTTTATTCAAAATCAATAGGCTTTTGTCCCCTTATAGAGCTTGAGTTTTGTTTAAAATTTTCAAGTTAATATCATTCTCCAAAATATTCTTGCTCTGGCACTTGTCCTACCCTCGTTGATGATCTTTGCATGTCCATGTTTACTAAAAAAATGTGTTTTAATAAATAACAGAATAATAATTTTGTCTAAATAGGTAACTCTGCTTTATCTGTATTTTCAAATTATTGTTTAATTGTAGATAGTATATTAAAGTTTTGATATATACTGTAACCTACCGCACCCAGGTACCATAATCATTTATTAATTCCATTTTATTAAAAAAAGTTGCATTCTTATTAAATACCAAATTCTTCATTTAACAAAAATCTCCCAGATAATTAAATCTTATTTACGACACCTAATAAATAATATCTATAACCAGAGATCCAATTTCCCAAAGGTGTCAACGTCTCGACGCCCAACGCCTCTCCGTTCTACTTTCCTACCTTTCGACGTCCCAACGATATCACTAAGTGGTATTACTTAGTATTTCCTACCATTATATTCATCCCGACTCCCAACGTCTCGACGCTCGACGTCACTACGTCATCTCTTTATCCGACGTCCACATCCGTCGCTCAACGTCCCTGCTAATTATCCAGAATACAAAAATATAAAATGTCTGAAATAGAAACAGACGATAATATAAACCCAACGGCCTGTTTATCCGATGGTGAGTTAATAACAACCAAACTAAATTTGTAAAAATGGGAATTTATTGTTGAATAATAATGAGTATTATTATGTAACTCATTATTATTCAATAATGGTAAATCTTTACCTTTGAGGAATTTATTGCTAGCCGACGTCGCATTTAGCTCGTCCAGATGTGTATGCTATGGGCCATATTGCCTTCAAATTAATATATCACCGTAAAAGATAATAAGAGTCTGGTTACCGAACTGTCAATGAACCCTCGCAAATAACAGCTCAGCTGATTGGGGTAAATGACACATCGGACGACTAGACTCACATTTATCCGAATATGCTTAATGTTACTACAGGGTTGGACTATCTTAGATAATTATCTCTCAATCTTCGCACCGTAGGTAGATCTGAACATAAGGGGTAGTTCGCTAGTATTGCTCTGGCTCTATTCTAGTAAGACTACATCTACATAAAACCCCCCTAGGTGAGGCTGAAACATAAGGGATATCCGCCTGTTATTGCAACGACGGTATCTCAGTAAGCGCAGCTATATAAAAAAGTAAACAACGAAACAAAGAATTATTAAAGATAGTGCAATTCTGAGGACGTCTGCTGTCTATTCTCAAGAATTGTTTAATTACAAATATTTGATGGCAAGTGGCCTGTGGCCTGTTGTTTGGGCGAGACACATGTGAGGTCTACCTTATATTAAAATAATCTGTACATATTTATTTTATTGGAGTTCAAGAAAATAAATTAGTTAAATATACTTTGAGCATTATTTCATTCACAAATTTGTACCAAACTTTGCATCGAATCCTGGTTTATTTTAATTAACATTATCACAACGTGGGTATATAAATTATCAATTAATTAACTAGACGATCACTACACTACTAGAGGAAAAGGCCATATACAGTAAGTATGAATTTCTTTGAATTTCACAAGGGGAGGGAGGTAGTTAAATTAAAATACGGGCTTTTAATAATTATCTACAAGACCGGGGGGTGGGAGGTCACAATACTTATATGATTGATTACCCAGAGCATGTAGATATGTGGGATGTGACTTGTTAAGGGCCTGTCATACACAAAATTAATGTTTGATACTTATTGCTGTTTTCGAGACATACTTTATTACCAACTGTAAACTAATTTTACTAACAACCTTATTTTTATTTAATACCTGCAGGGATCTAAATTACCAATACACCTAATATTTTTGAAAATAATAAATTATACAAACAAGACAATAAAAATAAAAGCTTTCAGGTTTATAGGCAACACACAATCTAGGCTGACATAACTTTATATAAACTATTTAAATGTACATACCATTTCTTAGGTAAAGTTTCTCATTATGAGTATATTAAATTCAACTGGTTGATTGATTTTTCCGATTTGCACTTTTAAAGTAAAAAACCATTTGTCTCTTTATCTTTATCCAAGGTTTATTGTACATTTTTATTTTCATAATGATGACAATATCCCTTCAGTTGGTTTTGTGGGAAACACAAACATTTACACAATAGATCTCTGCAATCATGGCAAATTAGATTTCTACAACAATCACAGGCGAAGCAAGGCAATTTAACCTCCTTTGTAGGTTGTTTTATATCCTTACAAATAGAATACTTCATTTCTCACCCAAAAGAAAAAAACCATTGTACACCACTGGTATGATAGAATAAACAAATCATATACTACCGGCACAGCACAGGTCAAACAAGTTCGTTTATTAAAGTTTTTTATTTTCTGTGCTTATTTGGTTTTTTTTTCTTGAGAATATAGGAACTAAAATTACTGATTCGTTTTTCACGAACTTTTAGTATCTTGTTTTATAAAACAGTAAAACTGATTTTGAAAGATTAAATAATGTTTTCCAAAATATTTATGAGATTGTTTCAATGATTGAAACAATCAATTTTACAATTCGCGGAGCGTTCACAGACCATCCATTTCGTTCGACAGTGCGACTTCTAATTTTTGAACATTACTTTGTTTAATTATTTGCTTGATTTTAGGAAACGTTACGCAAAATACATGTCTCTATTATGTGGGGCAGGACATATTTATTTCAAGGACGAGTCTACATTCACGGAAGACTTCTTTAGCGGTATTGATGAGGTAATATTATCGGTGATCAAATTATTATTTATTTATCAATGAGGGATTTGTAGATATCACTAAATAACAGTTACATCCTATAGTATTAACTTGTTTAGGAGTTTGGGATATCACTAGTCTCTGTAAATATCCGTGATTCATTTGTTCATTTAGAAATAGGTTGGGATTTAATTTGGTGGTATTAGGTACATCAGGACATCGCTAGTTCTTCCTGAAATGTTGTCCGTGTATAATTAAATTAAATAAATTTGAGACACACCAAACCCTGTAAATTTTTAATTAATTTGCATGTTTCATTATACGATTTGAGGGATGAAGTATTATCATTAATTTAATTTCTGTTAATGTGATATCCTGATTATAAATCGCCATGCGTTACCGTTTCGATGAAGGTGAGTGTGGTTTTCCGGGTTTTCCTCACCTATAAGTCAAATGGCACCATCAATCATCATTTAGTCACCCCGGAGCGCCACGGAAAATAATAATAGCCATGCCGTCCCCACGCAAGCTCAGTTGGCGCAAGGGATTATAATTTGAGATCCCTTCCCGGACGTTAATTTAGATTTTCTTACAAGAGTGAACTTTGAAATCTTTATCAATATAGAATTGTTAAGTTTGACAGTTTGGCTTATAATTACAGTTAGTTATTTAACCGGGTATAAAATTATTTTTACTCCATTACAGCAAATGGAAAGTATTTTACTGTAATAGTATCTAACAATTAAAGTTCGTTATTTTTGCCTTCTTAAATTTAAGTCAAGAATATTTTGACTTCTGGAATATTACTTATCTCAATTTGGCGCTACCTGAGTCCTTTTGATGCCACATAAATAAAATTGGCGCCCGAGGTAAATACCGATTCAAGGCGTCAGTTTTAAGGAGAGAAAACCTCTTACAGTATTTACCTTAAAGGTTACTTTCAAATAATATGAAGTGACTGAGATTGTTTCTAAAGTAGTTCTTGGAAAAATAGCGCTTATCGGAGCTTACAATTCTTTTTTTATTATTGAAAATTCAAAATAGAGTTTCTTACTTATTTTAATGTAGGTACTTCATAAAATTATATGGTTTCGTTGATAAAAGTAACTCAGTAAAAACTGTTTTAGAATATCATTAACTGAAAGTAAAACATTTTATGAATCATTTTTGGCAATTTCCCTTCTATCGATGTATTTTTGAAAAGAGTTACTGATCCATGAACTTTTTATTTTGTTTTAAATCCTGAATTATTTTTTGAAATTTGTCACCTAGTATCAAATACCTTGCGCAATAAATATTTTTTTAATTGTGTATTAAACCCAATAATAATATTAATAATCATTATTTTTTAGTTGAAAATACCTCAGAGAGATTTTATGTTCATTTGCATTTTTTTGGATTCACAAGAAAGCTGTCAGAAGTTGTTTCATCCAATAATAGCGGACCAAGGAATTTGTTATACATTCAATATGCTGGATAGAAAGTACATATATAATGAAAATGTGTAAGTAGCTTACTCACAATCTCATTTTTGTTTACGAATTAGGTAGTACATGACAAGTAAATACTAACGACAGTTTTACAATGGGAGTTCTCAGTCAAGCAATAAGAAAGAATGCCAAAACGTTACTTACTAATTTAATTTGATAAAATATGCAAATCTTTTTCACGCTCACTACAATCACAGTTTTCTCCATTACCTTGTCCCTTATCACCACCAGATTTAATAAGAATGCAACTTTTCTTTAATAAAATTGAATTAATAAATTATAAAGGTAGCTGGGTGAGGTAGGTTAGAGTTCCAATTTGTAAAAAAAAAAGAATCAATTGTATTAATAGATTTAGCAAGCGAAAAATTATGATAAACAAGACATTTCTGCAGAATACCCACGACATATTTGGAATATTTGGCAAATTTAATTGGACATATTATTAATATAAAAATATAATATCGGTAAAAGCATTAGAAACAATCTAATTTCTATATTTATTAGGCAATACCATATTGTTACACTGGTTTTTGGTATCACAATTTATTTCAATTCAACTTTACAATAACTCAATTCAACTTTAACAATAACGATACAACTGATAACATTGCTGGTGGGCCTGACGTATCCATATCCGTTTCGTGCACAGTGGATCTGGTATTTACCATAAATAGAGTGCTTGAGTAACGTTTATTTTTTATCCCACCGCTGTCACCAATATTACACTGGTTTTTGGTATCAAAATTTATTTCAATTCAACTTTACAATAACTCAATTCAACTGATAACATTAACATGCAACGTCTATCATAAAACTGAAACTCTGACGTCAGGTCGTCGACTTATATAGCTTGCTTGACCTTCTCGAACTGTCATCTAGAATATTCTTGACAGGTAATGACATTTCTGGCATATTCTATCTTCTTGCCATGTAGGTCTGACTCCATTTTTGAGCCATTCTCGGACAACCTTCAAGTCATTGTCTTTCTTTTGAGCCTTTCTTAGGCTTTCAAGAGTGATTCCGTCTTCGTCATCCTCCGGTTTGATAGTGGTTGCCTGTAGACTAACTTCTTCAACCAGCTCCTTTCGTTCTTCAAGCCTTTTACAGTACCGGCATTGTTGTTCAAAACAGGGTCGCCTGAAGAGAATATCTGCGTTGCTATGGAGACGTCTCCCCTTCGATGCACTATCTCAAAGTTATATTGTTGTAGTCTTTCTATCTATCTAGCAACTTGTCACTCAGGTTTTTTAAAATCCATCAGCCACTGCAAGGCACTATGGTCACTTCTAATGATAAAACTTCTGTTGAAAAGGTAAGTATGGAAGTGTTCAAGGGCTTTGACAATAGCTAATAGTTCTTTCCTGGTGACGCTGTAATTCTTCTCAGCTTTTCCCAAGGTCTTATAAAGTAAGCGAATACTTTTTCTTCCCCCTCTTGTTCTTGGGATAGCACGGCGCCCATGCCGTGTTGGGATGCATCACAGTCCAAAATAAATTGTCTTTGTTCTCGAGGATAGGCTAGGATGGGTGCTGTGGTCAATCGCTTTTTCAACTCGGTAAAGGCATTTTGGCAATCCGGTGTCCAGTCAAATAGACTACTGTTTTCAGTTAGTCGATGAAGGAGTTTAGCAATTCGGCCAAAGTCTTTGACGAATTTCCGGTAATATGAGCACAGTCCAAGAAAACTTCTAATTTCTCTTTTATCTTTTGGTTTAGGCCAATCTTTGATAGGGATAATTGTCTACGGATCAGTTTTGATTCCTTCCGTAGAAACGATGTGTCCCAAATAATAGGCCTCCGATTGGAATAGTGAACATTTATTGTGATTAAACTTTAGATTGGCATTTCTTAATCTGTCAAATACTTCACTCAAATTTGTTAGATGTTCATCAAAAGTTTTTGACATGATCATTATGTCATCAAAATACACTAGACAAGTTCTCCAGGTTAATCCTTTTAAAACCATTTCCATTAGACATTCAAAGGTAGCTGGGGCATTACAGAGATCAAACGGGAGAACCTGGAATCTGTATAATCCGCTGCCAGTTGAAAAAGCAGTTTTATCTCGATCGTCAGGATGTACTTTTACTTGCCAGTATCCACTCTTCAAGTCTAGCGTGGAAAACCATTTGGCACCGGATAGAGTGTTTAGTGTGTCGTCTATTCGGGGGAGTGGATAGCTGTCTTTCTGTGTTATCTGATTTAATCTTCTAAAGTCTACACAGAAACGAGTAGATCCGTCTTTCTTAGTTACTAGCATCACAGGTGAGCACCAGGGACCAGAAGCTTCTTTAATGATATTTGCAGCCATCATGTCCTGTATCATATTTGCTACTTCTTTTTGTTTAGCAAATGGAAGTCTTCTATGTACTTGTCGTATTGTATGCATTTTATGCTGAACAAGACTGGTACGCCCCGTAGATTTTCCTGTCTCGAAAATATCACAGTTAGTATTGATGAAGACTTTGATTTTTTTAAGTTCTTCAGCTGTCAGGTGGTCATTATTTTTAACTAGCTGTTTTACGAAGCTGGCTTCAACTGAGTTTCTTGTGGTGGCTTTCCCCGTGAAACGGTCTTCGCACTTTATTATGTTTTCCACCGGTATACATAGCCCTGTTGCTTGTCCTTTCTTCAGTTTGAGTGGTCTCTTCGTTAAATTGGCAACCCTTACTGGAATTAGTTGATCAACTTTAACGAGACATCTAGCTACCAAAATTCCGTCACCCACGAATTCTTTACTTTCTACAATGCCCACATGCAAGCCGTGTGATTTCTCGCTAAGTCTCGCCGAGACGACAGCTTCAGAATTTTAGGGTACTTCTATGTCTTCTTCTATTAGGACCTTTATCGATTGAGTGTTTTCTTTCGAATTCAGGACAATTTCCTCGTTTCCAATTACCAAGATCTTGTTTTGAAGGTCGATGATAAACTTATTTTGCATAATGTCCATACCCAGGACACACTAATCTTTAATATCGGCCACCAGAAATAGGTGTTCTATCAGGGTATTACCAATCTGTACGGTTGCTAATATCTCGCCTAGAACAGGAGTAGTGTGTCCTGTAGCTGTTTCCAGAACTAAGCTTCTTCGAGTTGGTCGGGGTTTTCGATGCAGGGTCCCTTTTCGAATGAAAGATTTAGTTGCACCAGTATCAAGGACGAAGGTGTCTTCTTGGTTATCGATATACCCCTTGGCCAATATATTTTGTTCGTTTTTATTAAAGGTATAAGTGCGAATTTTGGGGCCCTCTGTTACAGCCGACTCCTGCCCCATAGTGTCGACCTTTATTCGTTTCCCTGACTATTGTTAGAAAGCCGGCTAGGGGGGGGGGGTGACCGGCTTCTCCGAGAGGCATATCTGCTGTAATTATTTCTTGATGGACTTCGTGACGGACTTCGGGAGGTTGATCTAGGTGAATTTCTGGTATCATTCCCTGATTCTCGATTTGTAGAACGAGCCCTGCTTCGACAACTTCTTTGGAGGTATCCAATTCTTTTACAATTGAAGCATCTTCTGCTTTAATATTGGCTATTCCGTTGCATATTTTGCAGGATATTTAAGATCTGTGAGAAGGTAGGTTGAGGAATAGTATTAGTAGTGACCTCTTCACTTTCTTGAAATCGAATTTCTCTTAATTTTGCTCGGGAAGATCCAGATATACTTTTTGCTGCTTGGTATTCCTGGGCTGCAATAAGTGTCTCATTCAATGTCTTGTGGTGTTGCAGCCGAAGAGCCTGCTGCATTTCGACAGCCTGTAGTCCATCAATGAATGCTTGTATGCCGATTTGTTTTAAGCAATCTTTAGGTGCCTGTCGATAGGCCAGATGCAGCAATCTTTTAATATCGGCTTCAAATTCTTGTAGACTTTCATTGTGTTTCTGACTACGAACTTTTAGCTGGCTTTGCAACACCTGTTTCAAATGCTGCTGGCCATATCTTGTCTCCAAAGCTTGGACGGGAGATGAATAACTGGGTTCTTCTTGGAGAAGTAACTGTAAAATAGTTGCTGCCTGACCTCGCAGTGATACTATCAATGAAGCTGCCATCTCTTTCTCGGCCCAGCCATTGGCTCCAGCTGCAGCTTCAAATTGGAGTCGATATGTTTCCCATGTTGTCTGACCGTCAAACGTGGGTGGTTTCAGGGTCTTGCTACTATAATTTTGTGAGGCTGGGATTTGAATATGGTTTGGGTCAGTTACGGATGAAGACGAGGTAGTGTCTTCAGCTTGAGTGTTGCTTACGGTTTAACTATAGAATTTCAAACAATAAATATTATGACGGTATTTAGGTGCGCACAGTTTCCCACTGCGTATATTCACCCGAATTTCCCCTACCTACCAGCAATAAAACAAATACTACAGTTGTAGATTTTTTCATTGATTATGCTAGTTTTGCAAATTAAGTCAACAAAAGTATGTTTGATTTTCGATTGTATTAGTAAATATTTTTTTGCAGGGTACTTGACAAAAAATATCATTTTTTAAATCAAAGTACTTTAGGATGGACGGTTGATAAAGGATATCAAACTGATAGAAAAGGCCGTGATTCAAATTATCCCTATAGGGCTCTTTTGTCAGGTGCTGAAAATGCCCTGAAAATAACGCTTCGTCAAAATGTTTCAAATATTGACCACTATTGTGTTAATGACGTACAAGGATTTAATGTATGTATGAGAACTACAAATTTGCTATTAACTCTAGTTAATTAAAATGAGAAAAACCACACCGAGATTAAACTTTGCTAGTGGGTATTAAACATTTAATAGTGAGTATTAAATGTTTTAATACTATAATATGAGACAGTTATACTGATTATTAGCAGCTATTAAACTTTTGTTACAAGCAACTAATAAAAACTTTGCTTAAAGTTAGTAAAATAAGTTAATAACAGGTATTATACAGTTTAATTAATAGAAAAACTAAATAATTTAACAGTCATTATTAAACAGCGTAATGATAGGTATTGAACAGCCTAAAAGCGTTTAGTTAATAAATTAATAACTGTTATTAAATGGTTTAATGATGGACATTTGCAAGTTTTAATACTCCCTATTAAACCACTTTAATTGTGGTTATTAAATAGGATTATAGAGGCCTACCAAACCCCTTCCACCACAAATAAATTCGCAATTATCTCTTATTTAACTATAATAGGAAATATAGCCTTATGTAAACTTTTGATAGTATTCCCCACTCTTGAAGTAAATACGTTGCAAATATTAAATCTGTGTTGCTCTAGAGCTTCTTTTCAAACATTTTATTTAGTTTTTTATGGAAAAAAATCACCAAAACTTTTTTACCATTTTTTTTTTTAGAAAATAAACTTAAAATTTTGAAAAAGTGGCTTTAGAGGATTACACATAATAAAGCTTTATATGATAAACTTTAAAACTAGGGTACTAGTAAAAGTTTGCATACAGATATATTTCATATTAGAGACATTTGCAAAAACCTTAGAAAACACAAAACAAATTTATCTAAGTAACTTACATATTTCTGCATCATGTTTTAAAAATAAGAATATATAGGACAGATGAGAAAAATAAAAAAATGTAAATACCTTTGAACAATTTATTGAGTCACTAGAGAATTCTAAAAAAAAAAATAAATAAAAACAAAACATATAAGAGCCCAGCCACATATAAAATGGACCTAAAGGGTGTGTGGTCAATTCAGGGGCGATTGTTTCTTACATTACTAACTATAAAATGTGTAATTAAATTATTGTTTATCATAATCTATTCTGCGCCTAGTAAAATGTTCACAAACACACTGCATTATAAACACACAACTTGCTCAGGTATCACAAGATAACCATGCAACAACTAAGACACCTTTTTATTAACACAAATCAAAAGAAAATGAATATAGTGGTCATCGTGATCGTGGATCTTCGACCATGCAAGAATACTAGTTTCCTCGAGTTCTAGACGGGTAGTGATGCCGCAAGACAAGACCAGACGAGAGAGTGGCCTCTCTCGTCTCGTAGGGCGAGAGAAAACTGTTATTTCTTCTCGACAAGAAGGTGTTTCTCTCGCTCGAGAGAGCCTTTCTCTCGTCTTGTCTCGTTTCTCTCGTGATAAAACAATATCAAATTTAAATTTGAAAAAGACGAAACATGAAAAAACGGTAAAATTTGTAAGACGAAACCAAAGAATTTTTCAAGTAATTTGCGCATTAGTACCCAAAGGCAATAAGAAATACTTATGTCCCTATGTCTGTCCGTCTCTCACAGTCGTTTTACGATTGAAATTTGAAGTAGTAAGTGGCCCAGATTAGGCGTTAACTAAAAACGAAAATACTTTGTCTTGTAAGTCAGTTGGGGAGGGGGGGGAAGGTTAAATTGGAAGTTAGAATTTTTCTAATGCAATCATGCGATGTCAAATGAAAGCATTTTGTAGTATGTTTTCAAAATGCAAGAAGATAGAGACATAAAACAAAAACGATGTGAAATTAGAGAAACATTGTGATAATTTTGTTATAATGAGATGCATTTTACTTAAGACGTAAAATAGAGGGCATTACTATCTTTAAATTTTCTAATGGAAAGTAAAGCCATCTAATAACTCATTTGAAAGATATTTTGATTATATTTACGTCCAAGCAAACGGTTTATTTTTTTTTGTTTTTACAAAAATTACATTCTTGATAATCCTCGTTTGCCGCAATAATCCTAGAAATGTTAGATAATGTTGTAAGAGAATTTTTTAATAAGCTTTTTTTGCCAAGAAGTTAGGAAAAATTTAATACGTCAAGTGGTTTTTAAATCACCTTTGATATTCTTAATTTATTTATTTTAGTAAATACAAGAAGCGTTTCCTTAGTAATAAACAATAATTATTAATACGAGAGTTATCAAGAATGTAACTTATTAGTAAAGGCCCAGAACATGTCTGTATAAGAATAAAGTACCAGCTACAAAAAATTGCCATTTGTGCAGTGTTAAATCTCTCTAACACTAAAAAATTACTTAAATTTATAAAAGATACTGACATTTACTCTGTACTAGCCAAAATGTTAATTATCCATTGTATACTATTGTAAAAAACAGCATTTATAAGGTATTATACCTCCGGTAATGATCCTTTGAGGTTGAAGCGGTAAATAAAAAAAAGAATTTAACCTAATTTATGAATTTAATTAATAATAAGGCATCACATGACCCTACTTTCTATTAGAAAATCTAAAGCTAGTAACTCCCTCTATCTTACGTGTTCTCAAGTAAAGTGCATCTCGTTATAACAAAAATAAAATATCTCTTGAGTTTTACCTCGTTTTTGATTTATCATTATCTTTTTTCATTTAGAAGTTAAAATAGAGGAGGGTACAATTTTCGTCCTCACTGTATATAATACATTCGTTTGTATTTTTTCTTTGACAGTTTTTCGGAAAAACGCTTTAAAATGTTCAACTTATCTTCAAAAGTAACCTCAGAAAAGCAGAATGGATTAAATATAAGAAATGATTGTATAAATTTTAAATAAATGAAATGAGAAATATTTTTTCTTATAAATCACTATTTATAAAAGCCTAATAACACAAGTATTATAGAATAGGTGTGTTGTAGTTAACTTTTTGACTATCTCGAAATCTAATATGTTAAATTTTTAAGTTACCAACGATAAGCAATTGAAAATTTAAAATAAGCAAAGATAAAATTGTTTGAGACAGCCCGAGAGAGCTCGAGAGAAACGAGAAATTCTCGTCGATCGATGACACTCTCTCGTCTCGTCTCGAATCTGTTTTCGAGAGAAAATGTCTCTCTCGTCTCGTTTGAGACGAAACAAGACGAGACGAGAGACGAGAATCTCTCGTCTTGCGGCTTCATTATAGACGGGTGGAAGGGAGAAAACCGATAATATTTACTAAGAGTTATTAAACAATTATTAGAACGTATTAAAGAGTTTAATGAATATTATTAAACACATTTAATAGAATTAACAATATTTATGGATATTAAAGTTTTTTAATAATGCGTTATTGGCTAATTAACAAATGACTAATTACAGCAGCTTCAGGTTAATAGATTTCTAGCAACCTTCGTTTAATTATTGGTATTAACCGAAAATAAAGTAATTTATTAGTGGTTATCAAATTTTTTTTCCATTAAACATGTTTAATAGGCCTCGTTTTCTCGGTGCAAACATGGTATATAGACTTTCACAAACACTTTTATTTAAAAAAATTAAAAATTAGGTACTCGACAATTGTTTCGAAGTACAACTTCTTCAAATGTGAATGTGAAAATCTACCATGTTTGGTTTTTCTCATTTTAAGAATATGGATTTTCATCAAGTGAAAGCCCAAACTATCAAGAACTCCAGTTAAATATAATTATTTAAATAATATATTTTTATTAGCTTTAAAAGTTGTTTCTTTTTTAGGTTCTAATACATCCACCCCATACATTACCGAGGTTAAAGAAACAGTTTTTTACAGTTGGGTTTAAACAGTCTGTAATGGTATCTGTGCGTCCTAACGAAATGACTACATCGGACCAAGTTCTACAGTTTGATTCAAGTATTCGAAAATGTTACTTTTCTACAGAGAAGAAACTTAAATATTTTAAAGTATATACACCCGGGAACTGTGAATTGGAATGTCTCACTGAGTATACATTAAAACGTTGTGGATGTGTCAGTTACTATATGCCCAGTAAGTTGAGTTTAAATATGTTAATATTGCCAGTGGCAGTCATATCCATTCTCGAAGAGAGGATGGAGCATCAGGCCCAGAATATGTATCCATAATTATACTAAAAATAATTTAATTGCTCTTGGTAAACTCAAAACAGAAACAGGACACTGAAAAACCTTGAAAAAGTTTTAGAAATGGTTCAAATTAAAAAAAAGAGTGATGTAAATGACCGTTGTGACATATAATGCTTTAATCAAATTTACTTCAACCTATTACAACCAAAAGCTTAATTCAAAACAATGTAAAACTAAAAACTATGTGATAAAAAAAACAATAATATTAAGTTCATTCCCATAATAATCACTGACAATCAAACATAGCCCTTAGACATTGCGTTTGGTCTGGCAAGTTCCTTTAACTCCTTTAACACCTTTTAGCGTTCGGTTTAGTCCACTGATCTGTATTATTTTACTGGATAGGATATAGGCTATATTTGACATACTAAAAATCCGTTATATCAAGGAGACCGGAAGTGCAACACTGCTGGTCGATTTGGGCAAATTATGGCGGGATAATTTGACATACCTAATCCATAATTTGATTAGTTCTTCTTCTTATTCTTCTTGTGTTCCTTTTGCGGACAATGTCATCGGGACAATTCACCCATAATTTGATTTTTTATGAAAGAAAATAAAGATAAAAATGGAAACGTGTCTTCATGAATGAACGTTTATTGTTTATATCATAGTAATGCTATCCGATACTATTTACATAAATAGCAGATAAATGAACCGTTCTAAAGTACCTACAATGGAAATTATTAAATCTGCACTAGGAATTTTTTATAATTTATGGATGCTACAACTAAAAGGAGATATTCGTAATAGAAATAACAGCCTCAAGTTAGAACTACATAGATGGCCGAATCACTTTTGGGAACAAATATGAAATAATAATCGGTGAATTTGCCATTGTTACAATAGAACCAGGAGAAACAGGGATATAAATATGGTTAAAAGATGTAGTAGAAGATCTAAATAAAACCTTTGAAAATATTTAACTGATAAAACAATATGGATACATGCAACTAAAGCGATTAGAATTGGAACTGATCTAGTGGTGTTTTCAGACACATGATTTATATTAAGTGTTTTGCAAGATAATTTAGGTAGGTAGTTTATAATTACAAAGTTAATTTTAACAATATAGATATAGAAATATATTTTAAATTACCTACACTTGTCTAGTAAAGCTAAGAAAATTTACCGATTGTTATCATTGTTAGAAATTTTAATTAACATTTGTAACTCATAAAGCTTCGACACTATGGTCACAATATTCAATGTTGCGAAGTACATTAAGTATAAAAACAATGTGGACATTTCGAAATATGTAAAATTAAGAGCATTTTTAAAAAGACAAAATGATAATTACAAGCCCAAAAAATCAAAAACCTTAACATCTGAAGAAATCCAAAAGTTTTTGAAGGAAGCACCCGATTATAAATATTTATTAACGAAGGTAAATAAACGTTACATTTAAAATAAGGTAACACACTGATTTCATTTTTAAAATTTAGTTTAATAGCGAATTTTAAAATATGTTTTTTAACTAACTATAATGTTTTCGCGAAATACAGTTACAAGCCTACGTAGCGCAGAGAGTAGAGTGTTAGGCTGAGATAAAAACGGCTGGGCTTCAAATCCCACAGTGCCTGCCAGCTTTTTTTTATAATAATTAAAATTCCTATTAAAATTCTTCTTTAAAAAAAAAAAACAAAAAAAAACATGTCTAAAATTAATGTATTTTAAACTTGTAGACTGTCCTTGCGATCGGTTTAACTGGTGCCTGTCGAAGAGAAGAATTGTGGAATATAAAATTAGATGACGTGGAAGATCTAAAGACTGCCCTATTGGTTAGGATTCAAAGCACGAAAACCAAAATTAAAAGATCGTTCACGGTAACTGGAGAATTTTATAATATATACAAAAAGTACGCTTGTCTTCGCCCTGATAACGTCATTGGCAGACGTCTTTTTGTGAATTATCAAGGGGGTAAATGCACAAGGCAAATTGTCGGAATTAAAAAAATTGGCAATATGCCTAAACAAGTGGCACAATTTTTACAATTGCCAAACTTTAATCTTTATACTGGCCATTCTTTTCGACGCTCATCTGCCACTATTTTAGCCAATGCAGGAGGAGATTTATTAACTCTTAAACGCCATGGTGGATGGCGATCAAGCAATATTGCAGAAAGCTATGTTGACGACGCCATCTCAAATAAAATAGAGATAGCCAATAAAATTGTAAACTCAGTAGACTCCTCATCTAACCAACAAGAAAAGCCTTCGACATCATTAGCAAATATTTCGACAGTTACTGAGAATTTGGTAAAAAATAGAGAGACACCTGGAGTAACACTTCAAAATTGCTCAAATTTTACCATAAATTATAATTTCAAATAAAAAAATGTGTTTCTTTTGTATCAAATAATGTTAAATACAATTAATTAAATTAAATTAAGTGTTAAATTAAGTTAATTAAAAGTTAAATTTATAGAGTTATAAAGTTAAATAATATAATTACATTCCCATAATATATTATTAATAAAAATGGTTCCAAATTATTTCAAATAAGTTTCTTAGTTTTAATTCTTAAAATCGTGATCGTAGAAAAAGTATTGTGTGCAACATGTGCGCAAAGTACTTTTCCCACGAGCGAAGAAGTTTGCGAACACGAGCTGCCAGGCGAGTGTTCGCAAATCGAGCGTGTTCGTGTTCGCAAACTTCTTCGCTCGTGGGAAAAGTATCACTTTGCGCACTTGTTGCACAAACTACTATTTTATGACCTTAATAATCCATTTTATAACAACAAATAAATATTGCTTACATTTTCTAAAAAAAAAAAAAAATAATAAAAATGTAGAATTGGGTTTCATTCAGAAAAGTCAGTATCTGGCGGATCGACCATATTGGGTTGACAACATCCACGCCAAGTGATACCGTTTTAAATGTTTGAAAAAGATACTTATAGCGTCTCTCTACCTTATAACTCCATGGGCATAACAATTCTCAATAAAAAACGAAAAAAAAAGAGTGTCATTATGTAAACCATATAACAGTCTTGATAATGGCTGGAAAAATAAAATAGGTTTAAATATAGGTACAAATATAATATGCCCCTTACACGAAATTATAAAAAGGGAAGATACATACACAGTATTTTTATTAAATCCAACACTAATTAAAATACTCCAAGAAAACAACTATCAAAATTTTGACATAATATTCGGATATAACAGGACAATGCTTGTAAATAATAACTAAAATATACTGTCTCGTCTTCTATGGTAATTAGATGGAGTGTCAGAATGTGGAATATAAGGTTGCTATTTAACATTACCGTAAAACGGGGTTACTTTGCTCCATATTTTGACTTTATTTATAAAAGTTTGTAATAAATACCCTAAAAATTTTGTGATTGCTTAGATCAATTTTAGAGGTGTTAAAATATGTGCCTACCTAATTTAAACATAATATATAGATCCAGGTTTGAAATATGTACATTTGAAATCTGGTGCAAAGTAGGCTATATGATGGGTTTACTTTGCACCACTTCATTTAAGACTCGTTTTTCTATAGTATAATTTATGCGAGGCAAAGAAACCCCACACCGTTGTTAAGTTTAAGAATGTGCGCTTCTTTTGGTATAGGAATTTTTAATTTTTGTGGGATTTAGGCATATAATCAACACAACTTAAGATTTTAATCGTTTATTATTTAAAAAAGTACAGAAAATTAAAGTTTATTTAACTATAACAGTTAACCTAAAATACATTGAATACAATTTCAAATCGTATGAACATTAATTCCACCAAAATCGGTCGCACTCAGGTACAGAATACAAACCAGGTTTGGTCATTTGTTTAGGTGCATTTATAGCACCAAGTATATTGTCCCAGGTATACCAAATTTCATCGGTCTTTTCGGGCCATTTCCAAAACTTCAGCGACTTCACCATTGCGTTAATCTTAACCATTTCGTTCTCAATTTCGGTTATGACTCCAGGATAAGGATTGCCATCATACAACACTAAAACGTATTCGCCTACAACTCTCTGCATGTCTTTTAGACCTGATTCTTGAATTTTTTTAGCTGCAGATTTGGCAAAATAACCAGATTCAAGTTTTTTATTAAATTCAATATCCTCCTCCATGTCTTGAATTTCATCAACTTCATCATCTGAATCTGTAAGTTCAGGAAGCTTGTCTGACTTCTCTCCTTCTGAAACTTCATTCTCTCCTTGATGTTTAGAGTGTTTGGATATTGGAGCTCTAACTATTCCTGAAGATCCAGGTAAATCAGCAGAACCGATTTTGCTGTGAGCAATGCTTTTTCCGGCTGGAACTGTTATTTTCTTTTTCTTTCCCCGGACTTGAAACTGAGTAGCCTCCCTCCTTTTATTTTCCAAACATTCAAGAAACGAATTTTCTATTTTAGGTATATTCTCTTGTTTGGCGACACGATGATTGTTATGTAATCGCTCCAATAAGGGACTTACATCACAAGGAACGATTCCACATTTTCTGAATCCTGCTACTAAATTTGAAGCACTGTTTACAGAAATTTTCTCCATCAGTCGCCTTAGAAGTGTCGGAAAATGTTGTTTTTCGAGCACACTTGACCTGCTTCCAACGTGGGATTCTTTATAATCTGACAAAATTTCACGCCAAACCTTTTTCAATGGGGCAAATAATGCCACATCTAGTGGCTGCGTTACGTGAGTGCTATTTGGAGGCAAACAAACAAATTGAACATTATGGTCTTTACAGGCTGCTAATACATCGACGTTTAAATGCGAAGATAAATTATCGCCGATAATAACCTTTTTGCCTTCAATTTTTTTTAATTTTGGTAATAACAGCTGAAAAAACCAATCCGAAAATGTTTCTGACTCAAACCACCCAGATGCTGTGTTGGCGTAGCGAGTACCAGGTGGGCCATTCTCTGTCCACGTGTCCCATAAATGTTTTGATTTATACACCACATAAGGTGGCAGAACCTCACCTGCTGCATTTCCTGCAATCATTAGGGATATACAACTTTTTGATGAATTAACTATCCTTTCTGGGTATTTCATGCCCCGTTTGGTTAGAACTTTTTTTTGACCAGGATTATCTGTTACATTGGTTTCATCATAATTGAAAATTGCATGTGGTGGAACTCCTTCCAAGGTTTGTTTTAAGTTTTCTATATAATCCTGCATTTGATGATCATTGAGAGCTGCTCTGCTCCGCTTAATGTTGGTGGCAAACCTGACTGTTAGGTCCCTATGCCTCTTTAAGAAAGTTTTAACATAGTCTCTGCCAGGCAGGTTATCTTAAAACTGGGTATTCTCCTACCTGTTGAAGAGAAATAAAAAAAAATGAAAGAGAAATCAACAATGCCTAGTTACCCACCTTTCTTATTTAAAAATATCTTGGCTATTTGACGAAGCTCCATCTCAGTCACTGGGAACCCGAATTCGCTCATTTGATGAATGCAAGAAACAAAGACCCTTTCTTCATCATTTGTAAACGTAGCAGGGTAACCTGGTTTATTGGTGGGTACATTCTTCAATTTGTTCATAATGGTTCTCCGTGGTATATTATAAGCTTCCGCGGCTAATCTGGTACTCATTCCATTTCTAATTGCTTCTAAACATTTTTCCAAATTTTGTTGCGTGTAGTCGCCATACCTCCGAGAGCTTGGGGCCCTCTTATACACCCTTGGCATCCTCTAGAAACAATAAAACTAAATAAAGAAAATTCACCGGGATACTTTGCACCACTTTCGTGTGTATACTTTGCACCACTTTCGTGTGTATACTTTGCACCATGACCCTGGTGCAAAGTTTCCCCATTCAACCAAGAAATATGCATGTATAAATAACAACAACAAAAAATCATTGTTCCTATTTAAATTGCTCTGCTACACTTCGTACACAGTTAAAACAATAATAATATAAGCGAATAAGATTGTTCTTACATTTTTTTGTCGATTGGGAGCCTTTCACCATCAAGATTTTTCCACCCAGCAAATAACACAGAATTATAGGTTAGTTTTTGGAATCCAACTGCCGGCGTCTGGTCCGCGAGCGAAGCGTATAATTCCGCTCCGGTGACTATTGTAACTCCCTCTATGGGATAAAACTAGTAATTGCTAGAAATTTAACACTGTATCCTGTAATGGGATATTAATACACTTTAACACGCACGGTGCAAAGTTAGCCGACGGTTGGCAAAGTAACCCCGTTTTACGGTATGTCAAAAAATGTGGGATATTAAAACAAAATTGACCTGTTCTTTTAATTTTTTCTGAGGCATTTAAGTATTTATTGATTATGATGATTTTATGGTTATTTTTAAGGCATGTTTTTTTCAAATATCAAATGTATTTTTTGAAATATACTTGCATTAAGCTTACGATTGCAAAAATTGTTACAGCTTAAATTTATTAAAGTCAATGTGTATAGCAAATCAAAGTTTGTGGTATAGCATCAGTTGAAACTACAAACATGCATAATTAGGCAATTAGTTATACAAAATGTTGAAAAATTGATTCTCTCACAATTTTAGGAGAAGAAGGAACATTACTTTGTGGAAATGCTAATGACTCATGTATGAGAGAAGCTGAATGTAAGTATAGCAAATATCGCTTGAATATACTGGGTGGCCAGACGAAAACGAAACAGCCATTATGGGGAACTACGTCAACATTTAAGTCAAAAGTTCGAACTCGCGATTTTTTTATTATAGGGAGACACTTTTCTCTTATATCCTTATCTATCGTACATCATTTTATTTTGATTTAATAAATAGCATAACAGAACATAAGTGAATAGAACTTGGACTTAAATAATTGAAAAACTTTTCAGAACTCCAACGTTAAAAAATACAATCAACCAAAGTAATAAATGTCAGCTACGCTTTTAACTGCTTATAAGATTTTATTTTAAATGCAGTTAACACTTTACAATGTTTATCCTGCTAGAGGGCGCTAAAATCAAAAGTAACAAAATGAGTAGTCATATTGCTGAATTATTTATTTTTTCCATGATGTGTCATACTTGGTACCTACTTCCCTATTTAAATTGTATTGGTTGGAGTGACGGAGGAAAGGAGAGGGGAATGACGTATGACATTGGAGGACCAGTGCGAATACACGGGGGATGGGGTTATCATCCCCCAGAAGAAATTTTAAACCTAACTTTTTATAGGTACTAAAATGCATTATCAAAAATAAAGTCTTACTACCTCCCAGACTTAACCTATATTACCACTATCCCCATATTTAAACTCTAGATGCGCCACCGATGGAAGATATGTTAGAAAGACGTCCTCATTTAAACAAAAATTGACGTGTTCGAGTGTTTGTCCACAATGTTGACGCTGTACCTAATAATGGCTGTTTTTTTCTTCTTCTGGCAACCCTATATAGAAGTTGTTAATTTTATCTCTTTAATATGTATGTTTCTAGATTCCTTAAAAAGAAAACAATCACTAGAAGTCGAAAAAGAAGAAGAGAACGGCCACTATTCTTGCGATTGTAAACCACTTTGTAGCGACGTTACATATACCACGGAAATTTCTGGTTCTTATTGGGATTTCGAAGATCAGATCCAAGCATGGTTTTCGGTTTTTAAAGTCCCTCGCAATAAATGGTAAGTTTTAGCAGATGCACTTTCAAATATTTATTGTAAACGGTCAATAAACATTCTTTGAAAGCACCTAAAATGTTTCTTGAATATTCAGTGGACAATTCTAAACAGATGACCCGTATTCCAGTTTATTGCTCTATGTCAAACTGTCACTATTTAAAACTGCAAATTGCACAGAACAGATGCCTTCGGCTGGCGCTGGGCTACGACCGTTATGCCAGGATTATAGACATGCATAGACAAACAGACACACCAATGATTAAAGATTACATATTAAAAACAGCCGAAAATTTCTACAAACGGTGTCTTCCCGATGATGTCAGGGATAATATCCTAAACATTCACCGGGGAGATGGCGTACGTAGAAAACACGGCTGTATACATGCAAAACTCGACATTTACAGACTAAGGGTGAGATTACAGAACGTCTGCAACTTTGCAGATCTGCAAATATGGCGGCAACTTTGAAAATCTGCAAATATGACTGACTTACACATGCAAGTATCAAGTTTTCGTATTCCAAATTTGGGTTTAGTGTTGTTGGGGGTAATAAACTACAATAAATATTGCGAATTTTTAGATTTTTTTTAGAATACTTGCATTTCTAAGTCCGCCATATTTGCAGATCTGCAAAGTTGCAGACGTTCTGTAATCTCACCCTAAGACGCTAGACTACATCATCCTTCCTTCCCAACATCGACAGAAATACTAAATAATAGCACTCCAAGACTAAATATTTACACGAACTAGTCGGACCGTCGGACGGCAGACCGAACAATGAAACGACCCACAGAGCAAATTCAGCGAGCCATATACACTCGCAGTTTATGCTCTGGGGGTAGTTTCATCGATCACCAAGCCTGGGGGCTGTAATTTAAAACATAGAATATACAAGAGACCCACGTACATACAAGGACAACCCTGTTTTTTCTAGCTTTTTCAGGGGACAAAAACCAGAACAAAGACACAACAAATCCTCAAATAAATTCCCATTCATGATCCCAAAATCCAATAAAATACCTTAATAATACCGTTCAGGTAAGGAGTAAGGGCTGCTATATTTGACAGTAAATTGAGTCAAAATAAATTTAATGGAGAGTTACACCTCCCTGGCCCTAAGGGCCCGCGCGAAAAACCCGCCGCTCTGGTTCGGTAGTGTGACATATTTTATTTATTATTTGACATGTAAATATATTTCTTTAATGTAAATAAAAGTTTTCTAAAGTAAAGTAAAGTATTCTGTGGACGTCCCTATATTTAAATCGTTTAGAAATTTAGCTCTAGATGCAACTAGCCGTTCTAAAAACTCTTAATTTTTTGGAGACTTTATATTTAAATACCCTCTAATCATTTTATATAGAAATATTATTTTTTAGAAAAACAGAATACCAGTTCAATCCAAAATAATCGACGAAGCATCAGTGCTGTCATACTCTTTAAAACTATATCTAACAAACTATTATTACTTCGAAAAAACAAAGTTTTTACAACTATTAACCAGTTATTTATCGTTTATTAACACAAAGACAACATTTGGTCCTTCGAGATGGCTAAATTGTAAAATATAGTCCTTAAATGTATGTATTTTGGATTTTTCAGGTTGCAATACTCAAAACTGACAATATTTTTCGAACAAGATTCATTTTTGACATCAGAAAGGAATGAACTATACAGTCCTATAGATTTTTTAGCAAATTTTGGTGGATTATTGGGACTTTTTACTGGATTTTCTCTTCTGTCTGCTGCGGAAATAATATACTTTTTAACCCTTAGAATGTGCTGTAATTTTAGATTATATAGGTCTTTGTTTGGCCAGGAAACAGATAATATTGCATAAAGAAATTACTTTATTTAAATTAAATGTAATTTTTACGAATCTACATTGCACAAAGTTTCTATATTGGTATCTCGCCTAATATAAGTAAAAGAAGGTCAGTTAAATGGGAAATATTTATGAAGACTAGAGAGAAGGAAGCGAATCGGCAATAGTCAGATTTTAAAATTCCGTTCTTCTTTTTATAAAGTTCGCGAAATTGACTGTAGTTGGCATGTCGAATAACAGGACAAGTAACATGAGTGACAAAAAACATCAACGCAAGATTTACGTCGTTCCAGATTATAAAACAGGATACAAATCAAATATAAAACTAAAAAAAAAAACAAGGAGAAATCAATTCAATGTCTTTTTAAAGCTTCTAATGTAAGTAAAATAATGTATTTATGTCTAAATATAATATTTATTGTAAACTAGTCACAATATGTATCTTACGGAATGTAGTTTATTTTATTACAAGTTTCTATAATATAAAATTTTAGTCATATAGATTCTGACTTACAAACAACAATAATTATACATTAAATTTAACTTACTTGAAAAGAAAATTTATTTTTTATAGAGTTTTAATGTTAGTTAAAGAGTTGCTACTGTTATTTATTTTGTTGAACTCCAATTGTAAATGTTTTTTGTAGGATACTAAACGCTTAGAACAGTGGCAGCATATATATCGTTCCTAGTGCCGATAAAGCACTTTCTAGAGACGATACTGTTCTATACTTTTTAGAAGATATTATCAAATATTATGAGACTATTTTTACTGATGGTACTGTTAGCAAAATAAAAACGGGACAGCTGAAATTAAAGGATGAGGTAATACCATGTACATTCCCAAATCTCCCTTTATATTTGTATTACAACAATAAAAAATCTGTTAACTGTATTTTATTTTGCTCTTAAAAAAAAAATGCACAAAATTGTACTTATCTAATTTAAGCATTTAACAAACCTTTTTGAATTTGGTCGTACCTACCTAATTTGTATTTTATATAGATAAAATTATATACTTTATCAATTAAACATGCAAGACTTATTTAGAAATAAATACAACAGTATGTTCTCTACTTTATTTAGTTATAAACAAGTTTATTTTTATTATTTTAACAAAATTATGTATAATTCCCATAAGAAGCCATGTATTTTGAACACCGTATGCAGTACTAGCGTCAATGCGGTTAATTATAAAAAGCTCAATTATCGTGCGTTTTTTGGGACCGTATTTTAAGTATGCCGATTCGCCTCCTTATCTCTAGTCTTCATAGAAATATTTTATAGAATATGATGCTGATCTTGGATTGGCTTTTAAAATGTTTAAAAAGTAAGTAGTTTATGAATTATTTAAAAAAAAAACTAACAATTAATGATTTTTTTTAAATGGCAAATTAATTTTTAATTTGAGATATTTCAAAGTGTTACATTTTTGAGTTACTTTTTAATGTAGAATATTTTTGTAGAAAAAATTAAATATTGTCTTTTGGTTTCTAGTAACTTACCATAACTTTGAAATTTCTTGTAGCGGCCATAATATTAAACTCTAAAATTTATTTTAAACACTGAAGGGTGCTGCGTAATAATATTTTCATTAATTTAACAGCATCTGGCACACAACATTGATTTGTTTTAATATTACATATATTTCCCTAACATTTTTAATGCCACAAAAATATTCATTCTTCCAGTAACATAATAGTCAATTTAAATAAAAAGTAGATTTTTATTAGAATACAGCTTTAACCATTTGGTTATAAGCGGGAATAAAGAGTTTTACAAATGAGTATGGGTATATAATTATATTATACTATAAACTACGTCTTTATTCGCGATTTAAGCTAAGAGATACGTCCTCTGGAGGAAATTTGTAGAAGATCCCTATAAGTAGGATATCGTTCAGTGTTGCCAGAAGTAGCAAAATTTCGCTATGTCGTCGGATTTTAGCTTTTGAGGAAGTGGATAAGACCTTTTATTTAAGAATCAAAATGTGTGTCTAGTAATATGTAATCATACTTTATATTTATCTAAGAATTTTTTTATATAACCGATTTGTTATATTGATTTTTTTAAATTTCAGTTCATTTATTAATTTTGTTTTAAAATCAGTTCATCGTTTGGCAAAATTGGCGTTCGTGTTCATTGTTTACATTTTAATTTGTATCAATTACAATTCGAGTTTTTTCTTACTTTTAGCTTTAAATTTGTTTATTTCTTATAGTATGTGATAGTGTTCATATTAAAAATTAAATCTGCGAAAAAGTCCCCAGCAAGTATTCGTTATTTTCCAAGTGCAAGTCGTAAAATTTCATTTCTTACGATAAATGGATATCTACAAATTCACAATATTGAAATTTTGTAAAACTTTGTTAAGAATCAAACTGTAATCTGATTTGTGACGGTTTTATTACCATTTACATGTATACAAAGTACTACACAATTTATTTCTTAATATAAGAATAAGGATAGTAAAATTTTTAAATAAGTTCAACAATAATAAACGTTTGCTACCTGAAGTGTCCTTTAAACCACATAATAAAACATGTCCTGGGTTTAATAAATACATATTTCTAGATGTTCTTGTAGTAACCAATAGGTGAATATTTCCAACAAATTAAGTAATTCACATGATAAATATTATACTTATTTATGACGAAAGCACGAGAAATGAAATGAAATTAACACTAAATGAAACTCAAAAACACTATTAAAATGAGAATGTTGTCTAAAAACAGTTAAAAAAATCACAAATACAAAATCCGCCCAAAACAAACACATCTAAATAAACAAACATCCTATTTATAGTTATAGGTGGCAAATACATATAAATATTACCCATATGATATTAGAGGACATAGTCAATACCTAGTTCCGTTTATGCATAAATCTGTCGGCCAAAGAAGCTACAGTTTCTTAGGACCTTGTTATTTATTCACTTTTTTGAATTTTGTATTTTGTAATAATGTAAATTGCATACTATTTATTTGTGAAAAAATAAATAATTATTATTATTATAAATGACAGGCGCGCAAAAATTAATTTGAATCACAAATAGACTCCATGTAGTAACGCCTCTGGTTTTACACACGCCACTGCATTTTAAAGAACTAAATCCAGCCAGGTTTCTCTATTATCCCATCTGCATAACCCACTCATGTTTCTCGGTGCAATACACGCCACTTCGTGCCGCGACAAAATAAACAGTGATTCGTACGTGTAAGAACCAGGAAAAATTAATGGACATTAAAGCAAATATGAGGAAATTACGAAATTTAAGATTGCTCTAAATAAATATGTTTGTTTATGCATACGTACACCAAAGTAGGACCATTGTATTTAGATCAACTAGTAGAACAATATCAATGCAAATTATCTTGGAGTATAATGGACAGTATCAATAGATGGCAGCAAGCTCCGTGGTGTCCAAGTCATGTCTTTGATAATTTTGTCGTCTTCTACCGAGCCATCGAACTGTTGTCGAAACTGAATAACGAACGTAATTTCTAGTGATGCCGCGAGACGAGAAATTCTCGTCTCTCGTCTCGTCTTGTCTCGTCTCGAACGAGACGGGAGAGACATTTTCTCTCGAAAACAGATTCGAGACGAGACGAGACGAGAGAGTGTCATCTCTCGACGAGAATTTCTCGTTTCTCTTGAGCTCTCTCGAACAATTTTCAATTCCTTATCGTAACTTAAAATTTTAACATATTAGATTTCGAGATAGTCAAAAAGTTAACTAGAACACATATATTCTATATATATTAAATGGTAACAAATGATACTTGTGTTATTAGGATTTTATAAATAGTGATTTATAAAAAAAATATTTCTCATTTCATTTATTTAAAATGTATACAATCATTTCTTATATTAAATCCATTCTGCTTTTCTGAGGTTACTTTTGAAGATAAGTTGAAAATTGTTAAGCATTTTTTCAAAAAACTGTCAAAGAAAAGGTACTACAAACGAATGTATTATATACAGTGAGGACGAAAATTGTATTCTCTATTTTAACTTCTAAATGAAAAAAGATAATGACAAAACCGAAACGAAGAGATATTATATTTTTGTTATAACGAGATGCACTTTACTTGAGACACGTAAGATAGAGGGAGATCTAGCTTTATATTTTCTAATGGAAAGTAGGGTCATGTGATACCTCATTTGAAAGATATTTTCTATATTTTTACGTTCATGTAAACAGATTTAGGTTTTTATGTTTTTACAGAAATTACATTAAATAAATTCATAGAGTAGGTTAAATTCTTTTTCTATTTACCGCTTCAACCTCAAAGGATCATTACCGGAGGTACAATACCTTATAAATCCTGTTTTTTTACAATAGTATACAATGAATAATTAACATTTTGGCTAGTACAGAGTACATGTCAGTATCTTCTATAAATTTAAGTAATTTTTTACTGTTAGAGGGATTTAACACTGCACAATTGACAATTTTTTGTAGCTGGTACTTAGTTCTTATACAGATATGTTCTGGGCCTTTACTAATAAGTTACATTCTTGATAAATCTCGTATTAACAATTATTATTGTTTAATGCTAAGGAAACACTTCTTGTATTTACTAAAGTAAATAAATTAAGAATATTAAAGGTGATTTAAAAACCACTTGACGTATTAAATTTTTCATAACATCTTGGCAAAAAAAAGCATATTTTAAAAAATTCTCTTTTAACATTATCTAACATTTCTAGGATTATTGCGGCACACGAGGATTATTAAAAATGTAATTTTTGTAAAAACAAAAAAAAATTAAAACTGTGGGCTAGGACGTAAGTATAATCAAAATATCTTTTAAATGAGGTATTACATGACTTCACTTTCTCTTAGAAAATTTAAAGATAGTAACGCCCTCTATTTAACGTCTCAAGTAAAGTGCATCTCATTATAACAAAAATGTTTTTCTGATTTCACATCGTTTTTGTTTTATGTCTCTATCTTCTTGCATTTTGAAAACATACTACAAAACGCTTTCATTTGACATCGCAGGATTGCA